TGGGGCTTCTTGGGCGCTTCTCGGAGCCTTTTGGGGTCTCCTGGGGGCCTCTTGGGCCAAAACGCTCGAATCCTCGGTTCCTCGTCCCCGTCTTGGGCGCCGACTTGGGGCGTTCTTGGGCGGTTTGGGCGCTGCGGGGGCCGTCTTGGCCCCTCGTGGGCCGTCTTGGGGACCTCTTGGGGGCACCCTCGACCGGCTCGGGTGCCTCTTGGGCCGTCTTGGACGCAGTGGAAGCCCAAAGGAGAACACGCCAAAAACATCAGTTCCTTTAGGAAATCGACGATTTGTGCTAATTGGGGTTCTCTCGGGGTGCCTCTTGGGGCGTCTTCGGGGCCTTCGGGGGCCTTCTTGGCGTCATGGGAGTCGTCTTGAAAGGCATCGGGAGCATTCGGAGCGCGTTTTCGAGCGTTCCGAAACCATCTTCGGGCGATCTTGGACCAGAAGCTTGAACACGTGTATCAGCTCCACGGTTGGAGTAAGGTTCCTTTTCAAAACAGGGCTCTCGCGTGGGACTTCCTTGGACCTTCTTATGACCAAACCTACAGGCATGCGCAACTGCTACTTACACACATGGGGGGTGCGGCTCTTGCTCAACGCAGCGATCTTGCTGGAAGCCTCGCTGAACTGAATGATCATCTGATGGCGCATCCCTTCCTGTTCGCCAGGAGGATGCACAACAACTCGTTTTGAACATGGGGCTCTCACCTGCACGGCAGGCCCAGAGGGGGCCTGTCTCTCAAGGGGGCGCTGCTCGTGGTGAAGAGGGACGCTTGTAGGGATTGGTGGGGGGGGGGGCTTTGGGGCGGGACGGTGTGTTGCAGCATCGTGGGTTCACCTTGCTTTCGCTCTGGGATCTCTCCTGCTCAGCTTCCTCGTCCTCCCCCTTCGCCCTTGTATATCCCTCCTCATTCTCCCCCACCTCCTCACTCGCCCCCTCTGATTCCTCACCCCTCCTCTTCTTCCTCCCCCAATCTTGCTTATGCTTCTCCGCCCTGATCATCGATTCTGCCCCTCCTTCTCCTCTACTCCGTTTCGTTACCAAAAATACTCCCTGTGGCACTCTCGGACGCGTCTTCAAGGCGGGCTGGGCGTTTCGCCTGCGGCACCCTCGCCATTTATGACCCTGGAGATTGAAATTGCAACAGTTTCACGGATGGCGGGCGGAACCTTTTCAAACTGTGGCTCTCGCAGGAGTGCCGAACACAATCGACTAAAACGTTTGCAATATTTCACTGGTGGGGGGCGGGTGGCTTTCAAAATGTGACTCTCGTTTAGCACGGGGCACATTCGTCTGACAAGTTTGCAGCAATTTCACTGATGGAAGGCGGGTGGTTTTCAAAACTCTGGCTCTCGCCTTAGCGCCGCGCAGGTTCGTTTCAAATGCTTGCAACCGTATCGCTGATGGAGGGCAGATCTTTTTCATAATGCGGCCGTCGCCTCAGCGCTGCTCACATTCGTCTTTTGTTTGACAGCAAATTCATATATTCATATGGCTGCAGTCCCAGGACTTGGGTTCTGAAATGGTATAGGATTGCCATGAGGCGACAACTACACTGATTTAGTGTGTTGAAGTATCAAGAACAATGTTCTGACACGGTTTAGATTTGTCGGCACGCAACAATCATGTTGATCTGCGGCGCTGACGTCGCAGAATGTACGTTTTGGCACGATTGAGAATTCTCTACCCGCCGTCTTCTAGTGGGCCATTTTCCACAATGATGCTGGCTTCTTTCAGAAACCTCAGAAAAGGGAACTTGGAAGGCAGGCTTAATGCAACATCGTTGATGCATCTCGGATTTCGACTGCTCCTCCTCCTCCTCCTCCTCCTCCTCCTCCTCCTCCTCCTCCTTCTCTTCCTCCACCACCCTGATCCAGCATCGCATCCGCACCCCACCCTGTTCCTCTTCTCCAGTCCTCCTCCCCCGCCAACTTGTCAGCAGCCAGATCCAAGCCTGTGTTACTATCCCATCCCCTGTCGTCCTCCGCTCCTTATTCTCCTCCTCCTCCTCCTCCATCTCCTACTCCCCTTCTCCCTCTCACCCAATTGGCGAAATGCAACAGAACAGAAAGGTGTGTTCAAACACGCCGGTGATCACCGTGGGCTTCCCGCTTTCCCCACCTCGTGCTTCCCCTGTCCGCCAAGGGTGATGATGATGAGGAGGAGGAGGAGGGATGACGAGGAGAGAGAGGAGGGTGAGAGTTCCACGCACCCCAGCGTTGAGCGCTTCTACGCGGTGGCTCGAGGGCCGCTCTCCCTTCGACGCAGCAAGAAGGCTCGATGCCTGGCCTAACTGGGCGGTCCCGGAAAACCTGGCCAACTTGTCGTTTACTGGCTCTTGTGGTGTGCTCGCAGCCCTCGACTCCTGGGTCCAGGCCCTTGAATTCTGGGGGGGCAAGTGGTCATGGTAGGCAAAAGCGAGCACGCCCAGGAAGGGTCGGGAGGTGAACCGAACGGGGCAATCAGTTTAGTGAGCACGGACCGACTCGCGTGAAGGGGGCTAGACAGTGCACGCCTGACCCTCTCGCCGTGATTCAGCCTCCGACAGACTCGGGGTTTGAGCGCTGCAAGACAACCTTTGAAACCATCCGCAGCCCTCTCCTGGACTTTCTGCTCGGATGGAGGATGGATCTACGGAATGTCTGGAGACGATGCTCAAGAGATCTGCGGGGGAGGTCGTGGGGAGGTTGAGACCGGCCCAGGGACGCGCGAGACGGGGCCACGGCGACCCCCGAGTGCTTCCGCGGCCCTGGTCCCAGGAGTGAGCGCGTCGCCAGGACAGCCCAGACGCAGCTGATGCCCGCGCTACGCAGCCAGGGACTGCATCGCATGGCACAACAAAAAGGCGCGGGCACGCCCACGCGCGTGCAGTCGTCGAGGAGGGTCCAACCAGACTGGCATGGACGACCCTGAATATAGCAAACCAAAGCGTTCTGAAGAGCACTCGGCGAAACTATCAGGAGGCAGCTCCTTGGAGATCTTCGTCAGAGCGGCTATGGGCCAGCAAGCCCGAGTGAGGAGCCAGGGGGCCCGATTGAAGGGGAAGTGGAGCTGGATGAGGCTGGACTGAGCCCGAGATGAAGCAGGATCACATGGAATTCAGCGGGACTGACTGTGTCAGGTTATGCCAGCTTTCGCCCACGGATATACATGCGCCGATGATGAGGCCAACCCCAAGGAGTTGCGGCAACGTGCGGTCTAGCACTTCTTGGTGTTTCAAAGATGAGGTCCTGATGGCTGAGGTCCCAAGGAAGAGGCGCGTCAAGCAACATAAATCCACCCTTGGATCACTTGCTATGTTGGACGGCGAGCCCAAGCGGGAAGTGAGGGGGAACGGGCCTTCCCAGAAGGCTCGGAAGTCCCCCGCCCTGCTTGGAAATTTTCGGCCCCCCACCCCCCCCCAAAAAAACACACAGAAAACTCATCCAAAGGCTGGAGGGTTTCTGAGAAGCCCCGCCGCTTGCTGCGAGGGCATTCCTCTTCTCACTTTTCCCCTCGCTCGCCGCGGACTCCTGGCTTCAGGGCCCCCCTCCCTCAGGACCCCCTTTTTGAACCGCCCCTCGCCCTCGAGGCGCACCGTCGGGCCTCGGGCCCGCTCGTGCGAGCGGTGCGAAGGCGCCGGCGCCCGGAGGCGGCGCCCGGCTTGGCCGGGCGCCCGCGGGAGCTGTGCGATGTGCGCCGCGCCGCCGGCGATGGCCAGCTGCGGCCACAATGCCCCAGCGCGCAGCACGGCGCACGGCGCGCAGCAGCAGAAGCAGCAGCAGCAGCAGCAGCAGCAGAAGCAGCAGCAGCAGATGCCTCCCAGCTGGGGTCTGGGCAGATGGGTTCGGAGGATCGTGCCGCCTCGCCGACGCATCGGCGGTGCGGCTCGATGTGGAACCCGATGTCGTCCACGCCATCGGCGCCCAGGCATCGCCGACGTCGCCGATGCCTCCCCGACACAGTCGGGCTGCTGAAAGAAGGAACCACTTTTTGGCCCCACAGGCGCCTGCGTGCACAAGGAAGGCTAGAGGAAAAACCATAGAAGGACCGAAGGAATATCGAGCCCCTTTCTTACCCAAGCTGTTACCCCGCGCACGCCGCCTCGCGCGCCGCCACGAAGGCCCGCGGGAGGCCACGGCGTCGCCGCCACCGTCTGACGCCGCGCGCCCAGCGCTCGCGGGCTGGGCGGAAGACTTGTAGGGAAACGAGCTCTATACACCGACGCATTTTTCCGACCCTGCGCTGAAATTCGCACAGGAGCGCGGATCCTGGTGTATACGGGATCCTGGTGTAGACAGTTGTCGCTGCTTCCCTTGGAAAACTGCGGAGAAGTCTACACCACACCACCCCGAGGTCGCCCCCGACCCTCGAGAAGTCGTGGGATTGCAACAAAATCCGCCACTGGTGATGTATATGTTTCAGTTTCCGGATTCGTGCTCCCGGGGGAGACGAGCGCAACGCGGGACAGCGCGCGCCCACAGACGCTTGTGGCACCGAATTGGGCCGCGGCACGGGGTCACGGCGGGGCGGCCTGGCCCAGCCTGGCCAGGACGCGCACCCTCAGGGCGGCCAGCCGCTCGGCAGCCGGCGGCGCCGAGGAGGGCCGCAAGGCAGCCGTGCGCGCCGACATCTGGGCACTGCGCGGCCCGCTCTGGCCTTTGACGAGGCGCAGCCGGAGGAGCAGCAACATCCACCCGGGGCGTGGCACTTTCGGAGGCCAGCACGGACCTCTCGGATCGGCGATGGGCCCGCCTTTAGCGCCCCCCCGCCTGGCGTTGGCCAGGTGGGCGGGGGGGCTGCGTCTGGCGATGCCAGTGCCCGCATCTGTAAGGATGTTGACGAGGATCAGCGAGGAGGGTGAGGAGGATGTCGAGAACGACGACGACGGGCAGCATTAGCAGGAAGCACACCGTGATGAGGCAAGATGCCCTCAGACTCGCCCAGCAGCCCCCTGTCCCCAACCGGAGCCCCCTGCAGTACCTCACCCCCAGCGAGCCCCCCATGTACTCATAGCGGGCGCCTTGAGCAGCTCCACGATGCGCGTGACCTCGGCTGCCGCGGGCGGGCGGTCAAACGACCAGTGCCCCTGCCGCAGTCCCCCCCGTGTGGTCACGTGGCATACACTGGAGGCCCGTCCACAAAAAACCTTCCGCAAGAAACCCAACCCTGAGACCCCAGGACGTCCATCGATTTTTGGGGTGGGAACGTCACGCTTTCCATCGAAAAAACATCGAAACCCAAGAAACCCAGAGCACCCTGGAGGCAAGCAGGGTATTTCTCGGCATGGGCCCCCACTGTGAAGACCTCGCGCTCTACGCCCTGCGACGCGCGCCGCAAAGTTACCTTGGAGGCCCTCGCCGCCCCCCCCTCCATACCCCGGACGTGGCGGTCGATTGAGGATTCATGAAGGCAAGCGAAAAACGTCTAAAACCTCCCCTATCCAGGCAGAGCCCGAATTATAGACCCCAGAGGTTTGGACCCCGTCCTCAAGACCAGCATTTCAGTCCCACCAGCCATCTCGGGCGGAGGTGGCCTAGAGCACTTCATCTTCCAAACCCCGTACCCTTCGGGGAAGAGTTCGCCACTGCGCCTGATGAGTAAACGCCCCCCCCTCATTCGACGGGCCGTCAACCAAGATAATTACTACCCTTCTCTATCTGACCCGACTATACAAAGTGCACTTTGCGGCAAAATGTTGACCATGTTCAGGCGCTCCGCGAACACGTTGCATGGTTCAAATGTATAGACAGTGGTTGGGAGGGTGCTACCAGATTTGCCCTTCGTGCGCAGGCCCACCATCCCTGTCAACAAGCCAATGCCCAGAGCACTTGATGGCGCCCCGCGATGACTTCCCACTGGCAGGCGGTGCCATGGCTCGCGCGGCGCACCTCGCGGGCGTCGCGCTCCTGGCTGGCGTCTTCACTGCGTCCCGATGGTTGTCGATGGCGGGGCATCCTGAGACAACTCGCGTGGGCGTCGGTTCTGGATGAGCTGGTCCGGGTACACGAAGCGGCAACAAGTGTCGACGGTCCCGAAGCGAGAGAACGGCAGCAGGAACTGACACTTGTGAACAGCCGTCCGTCAGATCTGCTTCACGACGCGAGGGTCCACAGACGCCCTTCAGGGACCCATTCTGACCAGAATTCCAATGAAAATCCAAACGTGGCAGCGAGAAGCCACCCAGAGGCAGATTACCCTGTGACGTACCCAACCCATTTGTATCATGGGAAACGAGGATCTGGCCGAAACTTGCATGGACAATCAAATTGCAGGATCCGTTGTTTGATATGTAAGCTACTTGGGACACGCGCCTATGGCATGATGCGCAGGAGAACCATACAAGAAAGAGGGGCGACAGCTACAGGCTCGAAGAGGACATGGGGAGTCGGGAACGAAGGGCAGGAGAAAGACGTGCGGGAAGCCCACTGTGCTGGGCCCCTCAGCAGCCCTCGAAAGTGGCGACAGTTTCACAGATCGCAGCCCCCCAGGGATTGCGATGTCTAATCTGAGTCTGCGGTGGGTACCCACTGCGCTGGGCCCCTCAGCAGCCCTCGAGAGTGACGACAGTTTCACAGATCGCAGCCCCCCAGGGATGGCGATGTCTAATTTGAGTCTGCGGTGAGTACCAACTGTGCTGGGCCCCTCAGCAGCCCTCGAACGTGGCGACAGTTTCACAGATCGCAGCCCCCCCAGGGATGGCGAGGTCTAATCTGAGTCTGCGGTGGGTACCCAGTGTGCTGGACCCCTCAGCAGCCCTCGAAAGTGGCGACAGTTTCACAGATCGCAGCCCCCCAGGGATGGCGAGGTCTAATTTGAGTCTGCGGTGAGTACCAACTGTGCTGGGCCCCTCAGCAGCCCTCGAAAGTGGCGAAAGTTTCACAGATCGCAGCCCCCCAGGGATGGCGAGGTCTAATCTGAGTCTGCGGTGGGTACCAATTGTGCTGTGCCCCTCAGCAGCCCTCGAAAGTGGCGACAGTTTCACAGATCGCAGCCCCCCAGGGATGGCGAGATTTAATTTGAATCTGCGGTGCGTACCCACTGCGCTGGGCCCCTCAGCAGCCCTCGAAAGTGGCGACCGTTTCACAGATCGCAGCCCCCCCCAGGGATGGCGAGGTCTAATTTGAGCCTGCGGTGAGTACCCACTGTGCTGTGCCCCTCAGCAGCCCTCGAAAGTGGCGACCGTTTCATAGATCGCAGCCCCCCAGGGATGGCGAGGTCTAATTTGAGTCTGCGGTGGGTACCCACTGTGCTGGGCCCCTCAGCAGCCCTCGAAAGTTGCGACAGTTTCACAGATCGCAGCCCCCAAGGATGGCGAGGTCTAATCTGAGTCTGCGGTGAGTATCCACTGTGCTGTGCCCCTCAGCAGCTCTCGAAAGTGGCGACAGTTTCACAGATCGCAGCCCCCAGGGGTGGCGAGGTCTAATTTGAGCCTGCGGTGGGTACCCACTGTGCTGGGCCCCTCAGCAGCCCTCGAAAGTGGCGGCAGTTTCACAGATCGCAGCCCCCCAAGGATGGCGAGGTCTAATTTGAGTCTGCGGTGGGTACCCACTGCGCTGGGCCCCTCAGCAGCCCTCGAGAGTGGCGACCGTTTCACAGATCGCAGCCCCCCAGGGATGGCGAGGTCAAATCTGAGTCTGCGGTGGGTGCCCACTGTGCTGTGCCCCTCAGCAGCACTCGCAAGTGGCGACTGTTTCACCGATCGCAGCCCCCCAGGGATGGCGAGGTCTAATTTGAGTCTGCTGTGGGTACCCACTGTGTTGGGCCCCTCAGCAGCCCTCGAAAGTGGCGACCGTTTCACAGATCGCAGCCCCCCAGGGATGGCGAGGTCTAATTTGAGTCTGCGGCCCTCAGCAGCCCTCGAAAGTGGCGACAGCTTCACAGATCGCAGCCCCCCCCCCCAGGGATGGCGAAGTCTAATTTGAGTCCGCGGTGAGTACCCACTGTGCTGGGCCCCATCAGCAGCCCTCGAAAGTGGCGACCGTTTCACAGATCGCAGCCCCCCCAGGAATGGCGAGGTCTAACTTGAGTCCGCGGTGAATGCCCACTGTGCTGGGCCCCTCGGCAGCCCTCGAAAGTGGCGACAGTTTCACAGATCGCACCCCCCCCCCCAGGGATGGCGAGGTCTAATTTGAGTCCGCGGTGGGTACCCACTGTGCTGGGCCCCTCAGCCCTCTCGGATGTGACGACAGTTTCACAGATCGCAGCCCCCCAGGGATGGCGAAGTCGAATTTGAGTCTGCGGTGAGTACCCACTGTGCTGGGCCCCTCAGCAGCCCTCGAAAGTGGCGACCGTTTCACAGATCGCAGCCCCCCAAGGGACGGCGAGGTCTAATTTGAGTCTGCGGTGAGTACCCACTGTGCTGGGCCCCATGAGCCGCACTCGAAAGTGGCGACAGTTTCACAGATCGCAGCCCCCCAGGGATGGCGAGGCCTAATTTGAGCCCGCGGTGAGTATCCACTGCGCTGTGCCCCTCAACAGCTCCCGAAAGTAGCGACAGTTTCACAGATCGCAGGCCCCAGCAGCCCTCGAAAGTGGCACAGGGATGACCAGGTATGAGGCAGGCTGGCACGCAGCGGCGAGCGAGGTAAAAGGCAGGGGGGGAGGAGGGAAGGAAGGAGACGCGCGAGCAGTGCTCTATTCAAAACGAGAACCCAACGCAGGAGGGTTGGGATTACCCTGTGACGTACCCAACCCATTTGTATCAATGGAAACGAGGAGTTGGCCGAAACTTGCATGGACAATCAACCTGATGTGTAAGCTACGTGGGACACGCGCCTATGGCATGATGCGCAGGATAACCATACAAGAACGAGGGGCGACAACTACAAACTCGAAGAGGACAGGGGGAGTCGGGAACACAGAGCAGGAGAAAAAACGTGCGGAAAGCCGAACCATCAGCACGGCAGCAGCAGAGGGAAGGTGACTGCAGGAGGAGAACAATGACGAAAGCTGCGTCTAATTTGAGTCTGCGGTGGGTGCCCTCTGTGCTGTGCCCCCCAGCAGCCCTCGAAAGTGGCGACAATTTCACAGATCGCAGCCCCCTAGGGATGGCGATGACTAATCTGAGTCTGCGGTGGGTACCCACTGCGCTGGGCCCCTCAGCAAGCCTCGGATGAGGCGACAGTTTCACAGATCGCAGCCCCCAGGGATGGCGATGTCTAATTTGAATCTGCGGTGAGTACCCACTGTGCTGGGCCCCATGAGCCGCCCTCGAAAGTGGCGACAGTTTCACAGATCGCAGCCCCCCAGGGACGGCGAGGTCTAATTTGAGTCTGCGGTGGGTACCCACTGTGCCGGGCCCCTCAGCCGCCCTCGAAAGTAGCGGCAGTTTCACTGATCGCAGCCCCCCAGGGATGGCGAGGTCTAATTTGAGTCGGCGGTGGGTGCCCATTGTGCTGGGCCCCTCAAAAGCCCTCGACAGTGGCTACGGTTTCACAAGTCGCGGTCCCCCAGGGATGGCGAAGACTAAGAGTCTGCGGTTGGTACCCACTGCGCTGGGCCCCTCAGCAGCCCTCGAAAGTGGCGACGGTCTCACAGATCGCAGCCCCCCAGGGATGGCGAGGTCTAATTTGAGTCTGCGGTGGGTACCCACTGCGCTGTGCCCCTCAGCAGCCCTCGAAAGTGGCGACAATTTCACAGATCGCAGCCCCCCAGGGATGGCGATGTCTAATTTGAGTCTGCGGTGGGTACCCCCTGTGCTGGGCCCCTTCAGCAGCCCTCGAACGTGGCGACAATTTCACAGATCGCAGCCCCCAAGGATGGCGAGGTCTAATCTGAGTCTGCGGTGAGTACCCACTGTGCTGTGCCCCTCAGCAACCCTCGAAAGTGGCGACAGTTTCGCAGATCGCAGCCCCCCAGGGACGGCGAGGTCTAATTGGAATCTGCGGTGGGTACCCACTGCGTTGGGCCCCATCAGCAGTCCTCGAAAGTGGCGACAATTTCACAGATCGCAGCCCCCCAGGGATGGCGAGGTCAAATTTGAGTCTGCGGTGGGTGCCCACTGTGCTGGGCCCCCCAGCAGTCCTCGAAAGTGGCGGCAGTTTCGCA